CGCTCAGGGCAGCTCCGGGCCGCTCGGGACAGCTCCGGGCCGGTCGGCGCTTCTCGCCGCAGTCGGTCGGTTTTCAGCAGCCGCAGGGGCCGGTGAAACTCGCTTTGCTGTCGCATCGTTCAAAGTGCTGCCTTGAGACAGTTTGTAAGCAGCGGGAAAGGTTTCATTCCCAGTACACACCGTGCTGCAGAAACGAACCTTATTGCCGCTGGAATAATAGCAAAGCATTGGGGTCCGGTTCGGGTGGTTTTAAATACTTGAATTTTAGAAGTCTTTGCTTACTCTTGCGGGCTGTACGCATCAGCAGAACTTACCTTTCGAGTCGCTCCTAGACCTCCCAGCTCGGTATGTGAAGCTTTTTTGGCGAGACACGAGTCCCAGGCGCTCGCTGTCGCTGGTGCCGCGGGCTGTGCCGCTCTGTGCCTCCTCTGCCCGCGGGCAGCGCAGCGCCCGGAGCATCCTGCACCTTCCCTGGGGATGATATGGGTGCAACAGGTGCTTGGCTGATTTCAGGCATGGGATAAACTTCTGTATGCTTACAGATAAATGTGTGTGTACTTTAATGAAAGAGTGCTAATAGGGGCTAATAATGCAACCTGCTCTGAATATGTCAGATATTTAGGAGTATAAAGACTGCCCCCTATAAAATTCTGCAGCACATGAAAATCTGGATCATTTGAGTAGATCCAGCAGAATGCGCCAGTTTGTATCAGTAGTGAACTGTCTTGTATTCTTTCTAGTAAAATGTGGAATGTCTCTGTATATACTTTGCTTCTATTGGAAGCATTGAATTAAATGGAACAAATTTGTTCTACTGTATATTTGCATTGCTTTCTTCACTGAGTTTGCTATAGATGACTTTTTTTCCTGAGTACTTGCACTTCCTACGGATATTTAATTTTCATTAGGAAAGTTGATCTGTTAGTTGTTACTTAATTATGAAGTATACTAATGAGCATGGCTGATAAGATTTGAGTTCAGCTTCTACTGGGCTCATAACAAATAGGTATTCTAGTTTTCATATGCTTGAGAGGGTCTTTCAGTCATCACTTTGGGTAATGAGAGTATTAGGGAACAGTCTTGGAAGGTGCCAAGTGCCATTGTTTCCCAGAGGCATTGACGATATTGAGATTCTCAGACACTCAGTTGATTCCACAATCATCTGTACATAGTTTCTAGAAACAGCGCACATAGAAAAAACACAGATGGTATAAAAATAACACCTTTGTGACTTCATATGGAGGTTGTGTAGTTGATATGTATGAAAAGGATTTAGCCAAATCCCAAATGTTACCAAAGTTAAAACAAAAGTGACCTTTCTTGTAACTATTCCTGGGCAAACCTCCTACTGAGCAGAATCATATAAGCTCAATTGCTAAAAAATAAATGTGTTAAACCATTCATATATCATTCTGCAAATGTAATTGCTAGTAGTATAATAAATGATGAGAAAATACCAGAGAGACTTCTTAATATTTCAGTAACTAGTTTAAATGTGTCTGGTCTAACCTATGCCATTTAAAGAGTGTTATAAGACCTGTTTTAAAAAGCTTCATTTTCAGGTTATTTTCTGTAAGATGATTTACAAATTACTAAAGGGCAGTTTAATTCATGTGGAATAGTTGTATATGATTTTTAATTTCTATCTTCATATTTTTTTAGTGACTATATTATGGATTATAAAAAAACAGTTAGCATCTCACTGGAGATTTAACTTCTCCATGAGCCACAACCTGGGTATTGGAAAATGCAGGCTGGTTTTGAAAATTATAGTCACTCTTATAAAAATTGTCTATAAAGGCTGTACTGTTGGCATCTCAACAAGATTTAGGCTGACAAATTTACATTTCTGGAAAACACTAGCTGATATTTGGCTTAAAACAGTCATTGACTCCCAAATTGTGAGAAGGTAGGAGTGGCCAAGTTCCTCAGCTAACTCATCCTATATGGGATGTACAGTTTTTCGCAGTGAGACCAATCAGTCATTTGAATAATCTCCTCAGGGAAGCAGTGGATTCCTCAACACTGGACAGTTTTAAGATTCAGCTGGATAGGGTGCTGAGGGATCTTGTCCCGACTATACTCTTGGCAAGAAAGGTTGGACCGGAGGATTGTTGGGGTCCCTTTCAACTTGATACTCCATGATGCAGTCTAAGCATGTATTTCTGTCCTTGTTTGTATAAACAGCAGAGGTTTGGTTTCCTCAGGAAAAATTACATTGCACAACAACATTAATTGTACTATGACAGCAAACATGAAGTTTATGTTTTAAGTGTAATGTTTAATACAAAGACATAGACTAGCACAAATCATCAGAAATTGACTGGTACAGGTTAGAATAGCAGAGCTGCTGGTTTTTCCAGTAACTCAGACCATCATTAACTTCATATTTATTGCTAATGATAGCATTGCTCTAATAATACCATCCTATTTGTATCCTAAACATTTTTATGCTTTTCCTTAAGCTTTCTTTTTGCTTTTTATGGACTAGCCTTTCACATAATCACCCCTAGCAGCTGCCTTTGATCTGTGGTTCTGTTTTCAAATAAACACACTACTAAATGAAGTCTGGATGAGTTCTGTTCAGCTATTTTCTAACAAAAAGTTCTCTTTGCTTAAAAGATGCAGTTTTGGGAAATGCCTGTTTTCATCTGAGTTGATCATGTTCTTTATCGATTTGTAGCTAAACAGATCAAGTTCTGGGAAAAATGAGGAAAAGAAAGGGAATAAAGGAAATGGGAAAGGTGACTCTGAAGGTGGAAAGACAGCAGTGGTGTTTTCCTTGAAGAATGAAGTTGGTGGATTGGTGAAAGCCCTTCGACTCTTCCAGGTAAAGCTTACAAATCATTATGCTGACTGGACTGAGGAAGGCTACTGAGGTCAGGCTGTTTGTTGGTATAAACCTAATGGACTGTGGCAGAAGGAATAGAGTGCAGTTACACTCACTCTGCTGAACTGAATAAAAGTAACTTAAAATTTTATGGACCATTCAGCAAGGCATTTTGGGCTCATGAAGGGTTTTCTGGAAGGAAGTTTAACATGGATGCTGATGCTCACAGTCTTTGCTTTAGATTTCTGGTGTGTGATTCTCAACACCAGAAATCAGATTTGAAGTTGTCTGTGGAGGCCACAGCGAAAGGAGGCACTTTCAGAGAGTAGTTTGGAAACTAAATTACATACAATCAGGTGATGGTGGAAGCCTTGCTGCAGGGCAGTGTTTGGTCATGAAGTTAAAGACACCTTTAAGTGCTTGCAGGGTCAGGGCTTTGTGTGTGTAACTGGATTTGTGAAGCATTGGTTCCCACACAGATCCCCACGCAACTGGTGATTTTCGGTCAGACTGCTACTACTGCACATGGTCTCCTTGCCTTATTAAGAAGTGGAAGAGGGCTTGGAGGCATGTCTGAGGGGAGTTAAAACAAACCAGTATGATAAAAGGCTTAGGTTGTTCAGTCTATGCAGTGCAGTGAAGAGAAAGTTAGAAGTGTCTTGGAGCCTGCCTCTAAGGCCAAACTGTCAGAGAGGTCCAAGTGTGGGAGCACTGAGCATTACCAGTCCTCACTCACAGGGTCTGGCTCTGGGAGCAGATTCCCCAGCCAAGGAAAGGGGAAGAGTTAGACCCACAGGAGGGAGGCTGCCAGGAAGTAGGGTGTTTGACAGAAAGAAGGAAGCCTAAGTGAGCAAACAGAAGTTGCAGAAAGAGTCATGTTTGCAATGCAGCTTCTCTCCAAGGGTTAAGTGTCTAATTGCAGCTCTGGCTTAAGTGCTTGTACAGGTTCATACCTGAAATTTTGGATTTGCACATCAACTACTCCTTCTTGGGAGTAGATATATAACTCATGCTGATCTCTTAAAACATGGCTGGAAGATGTGGCAAAGATATCACCCCCATTCATGTAATCACTTATCAATTTGAGTACTGTGGTGGGGAGTGCAGGGTTTTTGTTCTCTGCGTAATCCAGGGTAGATCAGAATGAATTTGTTACATGATGGGGCTAGCTACACTGTATACATAGGTTATGGAGCATGCCAGTGAAAGAGTTATATCCAGAGGTGTAAAAGCAGAGGCTGCTGGTTGACTGTACCAGAGGAGACCTTCACCTGAAATGGACATTTTATGTAAAATTCAGCAGGTTAGTGGAAGTACAAGCATGAAGTTTTGTTTGGAAGTCACTGAGTAATTGAAAGGACAGTTGTGAAAAGTAACACATAGTTTCTGTCTGGAGAAAAAAAAAAGGAAAAATCAGTGTCAGCAGAAGTATTGGCTGCAAGCAGTCGTCTAATCCAACCTTCTACTATGAAGAAAGTCTGTTGCAACACTAGATCAGGTCAGTCATAGTACACTATGGCTCTCTGTCATTGCATGACACCCTTGGCAGACCAGTAGTTGTGGTGGGAGAATACCCCATAGGAAAGGGTTCATGCAAGTATTTACACTCCCATGTTTGTTGCATGACTTTTGTTTGATGAGGACATTGTAATAGAGAATAAATTGAATTAGATTTTAATTTTATTATAATTTTATTGCTATTGACACTTTGGGTTATTGATAATTGCTGCACAAAAGATAGATGATGTATGATATACAGTCATCCTCACAAAAATACTTTTTTCCGCGCTTGTTCATAAGAGATACTGAAGTAGTACATGTTTAATGGCATCTATTTAAAGAAGATCACTCAAATCTATTTTAAATTAACATTATTATTACACATATTGCCTAATAAAATTGCATTAAAATATAATATTTATGGCAGAGGTAAATAGAAAATTGCATTCAATATTTGTTTTAAATTATGTTTTACTGTCCTCTGTAAGAGATTGTTCGGTAGATAAAATTAAATTGTTACTTGGCGTACTTCGTTAACATTAACATTTTATTTTTACTGTACAGATTATTTTTTTTTGTCATCAGTATTTATTATGCGTCGCTAACTAAATGTGTAAATACAAAGTGAGTACTTTCAATAAAAAGGCTTTTTAATACCTGGAAAAACTTCCCTGGGCAATATGCCATCAATATTGCTCTTCTAGCTGGTATGTCTGTGCTTCATCTGTTATTTCATCTTTCCACAGGAAAAACATGTGAGTATGGTTCATATTGAATCACGAAAATCAAAGAGAAGGAATTCAGAGGTGGAAATTTTTGTGGACTGCGACTGCAGTAAGAAAGAATTTAATGACCTAATCCAGTTGCTCAAGTTTCAAACTAATATTGTATCTCTCAATCCACCAGAAAACATCTGGACTGATGAAGAAGGCAAGGCTAGTTTTGTATCATTTGGTTTAGATACTGACAAACGTTTTGCACAGGTATCTCCATAATCTGGTGCATTCAACTCATATTCTGTCTTCTACAGATCTCGACTGTGTCCCTTGGTTCCCCAGGAAGATATCTGAATTAGACAAATGCTCACAGAGAGTTTTGATGTATGGATCTGAACTGGACGCAGATCACCCTGTAAGTGTAACACAAAATGGTCCTATAGACAATTGGTCAGGTTACTTGCCAGTCAAATAAAACCCCTGTTGACTGCTGATTGTTTTCTGAACATGGGGACTGGTTTCTCTTCAGTAGTTTTAGCAAATTAATTTTCCTTTTCTGTAGAAGCAAAAAGGATTACTTATTGCTTATTTATTGCTTAACAAGTATGTCCCCTTTTGTACTGCTTGCATTTTTTAAAAAATCAACTAGTTGAAACTAGGTTTCAAACTTCAAAGAATTTAGATCAAGGTGACCTTCAGTTCTGCCAGAAGTAGCTCTTGGCTAAGAATTGATACTAACCTAGGTGTCAGAGAAGAAAGAATTATGAAGGAATAATTTGGCACTCAGGAGGTAATTACAAAATAAAATGGAGCAATATATTCCTGTTTCTGGTGAATGCAACAGATGGGAAGGTGTCTTGCACTGTTTCCTGACTTTGGTGACGGGAGACAAGCCTGTATTTTGCATAAGCTGTATCTGCAGTCCTGCCAAATGCTTAATGCAAAAGACAGAAAAATAGATTTTTTACTATTTTATTTCTTTCTTGTGTCCATAAATGCTTAACCTCTAAGACATTAGATGGCAGATGATTCAAAGCATTTATGTTACAACATTTACCCTTTTTATAAATCCAAGTTACCTCTGGATAGCTTGGCTGAAAGATACTGGTGGTAGCTACTCGTATTCATTCCTAAAATAGGCTGGATTAAACCAGTATTGTAGGGAATCTCCAGCAGAAAGGAAGTAGGCAGTGAATTAAGACATGTGACCATAAGACTGTCTTGTGGTAGAATCAGATTAAACTCTAGCTGTAAGCTATAGTCTCCTTTGGTTTCTGTTGTACACATTTTGTGCTCTGGTGGAGCTCAGGCACAGATTCTCACACCTGTGCACACAAGCCAAATGGACACCATCACAATGTCCCCTGGCAGCCCCACTTCTCTGTCTCTGGTGTCACATATCAGCCATAATAATCATCATCATCACCTCGCTTTGTTTTCAGCCACCTCTACCATGTGTGAGCCCTTCCCACACTGCAGACCCACAGTCAGGGAGCGTGTCACTGGATCCTGGTTTCTGCCATGTACATTTTCGTGATGAACTAGCATTTACTTCACATTTTCTCAGAAAAGTCTGTTGATTATCTTCAACCATTGACCATAATTTGGTTCAAACAGAGGTTGTAGTGACATCTCATTCCAGCTTTGAGTTTATGACCGTGACAGGCCATTAGATACTGTTTTATGTTCTGAGCTGGTACCTTCATTAAATACTTGAGCACTCTGCTGAAAATTTGCCTTCAGTTTTACAGAAAACAAAAAAAAAAGACATTTGCATTATATGAATATATATTTCACACTTGGGGGAACTCTGATAAACATAATTTACACACCATGTGTTAGCCTATGCAGCATTCTAGATGTTAGAAATGGGGGGAAAAACGTAAATCTGTGACTGGCCTTTGAAAGACCACTTCAGGTGCCTGCCCTGTTCTTTAACAATGGCATGTAGGTGCCAGAGGACCAAAGAGAATTATTCATTCTATTACAGAAGCTGTAAGGATAGCACCACTTCAGCAGCACAGCCCTAACCCATTCCATATTGGCTAATGATTTCAGTCTCAGTTTTAATACACACGACAGGCTTTTAAGTCCCCTGTGCTCTCTTCCATCACTTTTCAGGTCTTGAGTGGTCTTCAGCTGAGTAACTCAGCATTTATGTCAAAAGGTATTAAGGAGACAAAGAGGCTCCCCCAGATTGCAGCAACCTTTTGCCAGTCAAAAAAACTTTTCTGTGTAGGATTGAAGGCTTGCAGATTTTCTGCAGTCTTCTGAAATGCTCCCTTACTCTGCCCCAGCAACACAGCTTAGGTTATGGGCCACTAAAATGACTACTGAGTTTTGTGGAAGCTCATACAAATATTTCAAGTCAAGAGATGTTACCTTTTCAATTCCCTTCAGTGATTTGTGTTTGTGTATGTGAGAATTAAGGAAAAAATACATTTGAATTTTCAGCTTTGACTAGGGGAAATTAAATGTACTTCATGGATACTAACTGGGGAACTTAGATAACTGTTTACACTTTTTCATATTCAAGAGGTTGGCAGTTCTACCTTGAAAATAGTTAACTCTTCTTGTAGTCCAAAACCTGAAGTATCTAAATACTTTACAGGTATAAAAGAGATGTTGTTCTAATTTTTAATAGATCAAAGAGCTGTAACTGGCCAATGTGTATGTTATACAACTCTTTTGTGCTTAATGATGAAAAGGTATGAGCCTCTTCCTTGGTAATTCAAACTGGAGCAATATGCCTATTTGATGCTGAAGGCTGATGGTGTTGGTTAAGGTGGCAAGTGCTGAAATAAAAATCTTCTAATGAGTTGTGTGTGATCTCTAGACACTTCTGAAGAAAGATGTATTAGGGATAGACAAATTTTTCTGCTATGTGCCTCCATGTAGATCTCTGTTCAGATCAAGGAAAACCTGAGTGAGATGAAATGACAAGAAAAAAGTTTCATTTTTCAACATCTTGGATGAATGACTGTACCTATGCACAAAACTGTATTGAAATAACTCCTGTGGGAGTTCGGTGGGGTAAAAAGTGAAGAAATCCTTATCTTCTCTTGCAGTCCAGTAGGCAGTGTTAATGAAAATACAATACAATTAAGTACTAAATAAACACTTTAATGATTTATTTTATAATTCTTACAGCGAATTTTCTGTCTTTATTGTAAATGACTATCTTATTCCTTGCTTAAGGGATTTAAAGACAATGTCTATCGACAGAGAAGAAAGTACTTTGTGGATGTTGCCATGAGCTATAAATAGTAAGTACTGGCATAATTCTTCCCTGTGCTGCTGACTAGTTAAAATTTATGCTCTACTTAATTCGGTAGGGTGAAGTTCAACAGTAGAGAAAGTCATCCTTTAAACTTTGACTAGTTTAGTGTAGCCTATATATTACAAACCTGATGCTTGGAATCCCATTACATTTTTGATACAGATACAGACATGTAAAGCCTTTGAAAGGCAAATACTCTCTCTTCAGCTTTTTATTCACAGCTGCTTAAAATTAAGAAAAGATTTTAGAAATGTTTGCATGTCTTACTGACAAACTGGTGTACTGCTGAATCACACATTTCTAGCATCCTTACTTAGTTGAAAGAGCTCACTAAACCCCAATATTATTATTTTCTTCTGGTACATGTACTGTATTGGGCTGAGGCCAATTGTATGAGGTTCAACAAGGTAAAGTGCTGGGTCCTATACTTGGGTCGCAACAAGCCCATACACTGCCACGGGCTTGGGGCACAGTGACTGGAAAGCTGCCTGGTGGAAAAGGACTTGAGAGTATTGTTGGGCAGCATCTGAACATGAGCCAGCAGTGTGCCCAGGTGGCCAAGACGGCCAATGGCATCCTGGCTTGTATCATAAATAATGTGGCCAGCAGGACCAGGGCAGTGATTTTGTCCCTGTATTTGGCACTGGTGAGGCCACACATTGAATCCTGTGTTCAGTTTTGAGCCCCTCACTACAAGAAAAAGATTGAGGTGCTGGAGCATGTCTACAGAAGGGCAGCAAAGCTTGTGAAGGGTCTGGAGCACAAGTCTTATGAGGAACAGCTGAGATAGCTGAGGTTGTGTAGTCTGGGGAAAAGGAGGCTCATGGGAGACCTTATCACTCTCTACAAGGACTTGACAGGAAGTTGTAGTGAGGTGGGAGTTGGTCTCTTCTCCCAGATAACAAGTGACAGGACAAGGGGAAATGGCTTCAAGTTGCACTAGGGGAGGTTTAGATTGGATATTAGGAAAAATTTCTTCACCAGAAGAGTGGTCTGGCATTGGAATATGCTCCCCAGGGAAGTGATAAAATCACCGTCCCTGGAAGTGTTGAAAAGGTGTGTGGATGTGGCATCTGGGGACAAGGTTTGGAGGTGAACATGGCAGTGCTGGGCTAAGAGTTGGACTCAGTGATCTTAGAGGTCTTTTCCAACCTTAACGATTTTATGATTCTCCTGGATGCTGCAAAATGCTGTTTATCAATTTTACCAGCACAGCTCCAAATTTCTTAGAATTCAGTGCATTTCTGTGTAGTTAGTAGAGCTGGTGCCTGTGCATAAATACACTGCATGTGTTTTCTCTTTTCCCCATTTCAAGTCAGTATTTTCAATTTGCCACAGCCCCTGGAAGTCAGGAAACTTTCTCTTCTACCTACAAACACCTACTGTGTTGCAATTTTCTTGTCATAGAAGCATTCAGCTAATTCTAATCCTACTCTTGGTTTTATTTGCAACAGGCTTAAGGCCTCATTCTCAAGGGAAAGAACATACTAATTTCATGTTCTTTTCCATTTTACCACATTTCTTCAGGTTTTTCATTTTTCTCCTTTGAGATTTCTACCTACATTGTTTAAAGAATATGAAACACACAATTTTTTTCTCCCTTTATAGAAAGCACATTCTGTCAGGAAGCTATTAAAAAATGGATTTTTGAAGGTTTTTCAGTATAAGGCTAGTATACAGCCCACAGAAGGCTGGGGAGACAGAAGGATTAGCTCTGCTTTGTGACCATATAATTCTGATTATATTTCTCCTTTACTGTTGTCCCATTCCTGTCGTTAAGCTATTACCAGTCTAACAAATGTGTAAGTGCTAGTGTTCGTTCCCTGGTTTTTTTTTTGGCCCACAGTGGCATTTGTTTAGCTGAGTGCTCATGACATCCATCCAGCACACTGAGCTGCTGGGGCAGGGTGTTGGGTGGTAGAGGAGCTTTCTGGGCTGCCCAAGTAAGTCCTGAGTTAGTACTTACTCAGCTTTCAAATGTAAATTGAGGGATATTTTTTGTTTGTATGTTTGTTTTCAACTGATTGATTTATTATCTCGTTTTTAGACTGCTTGCAGTAAAGTTAGCACTCCTTTCCTAACATTTGTTGCAGTGTGAAATGTCAGGCGTGGATGAGGGCAGGCTGTGTGTGCTCCTAGGCTCTTTCAGTTGGATAGTTCTCCATTTATGCATGACGGTAGCAGTAGTGCCATGCATTTCACACCTGCTAACTTGCTGGAAATACCTTCTTCCCTTCTCCCTGTCAGCTGCCTAAGTGCTGGAAAGGTCATTCAGCTGGCTTACTAAGCAGTAGTAGGTCTTCTACTTCAAAGTGTGTTTTTTTTTCTCCCCTGAAAGCAGTGACAAACATCATTCTTCTCACAAAAATCACATGAAGTTATTCTGCATATTCCCAGAAAAAAACAAACCAAAACAACAAAAAAACCCAGATAAAGGAAAGGGAAAACCTTTTCATTCTTCAGATTTTGATGGCTTAAGAATGATTTTTGCAGGCACATTGCAAAAATCAAACAGCCCAAACCAGAGATTTTTGGGGCCAAATCTTGTACTTCAGCAGAACCACTCAGTTGTATTCCTTCATTCTGCTCATGTTTTCAAATCTTCAAAAGATTTCTAACTCACCATGTTATTATGATCAGAGAGAAAACAAGATGTTTGCAATATTCTTAGCCAGGGACCACAAAATGGGCTGGGAGACCATTGCTGAGGGCACTTACCTAACATGTGCCAAAAATCTCATTCATGCTTCAGGTCTCCTGCAGTGTTCATCCTTAATCCCAGGGATGTGCCATGTCTACTGGTCTGTACAGCCAGTCTGTCTCTGGGTGTCTGTAGAGACAGCCCAGGGAGACACTGCATCCTGCTGCAGCTCAGCCTAAGCCATGCTGAGAAAAGGCAGATCAGCTCAGGAGGGACTCCGAGCTGCTACAGCTGAGCTGTTTCTGCTATCCATGCTGTGGAGCTCAGAGTTAATATAGGTGCCTCGGCACTACATCGCAGTCTCATCACACTCTCTTCTGTGGCCTAATGACTATTTATTTATTTATACAAAGAGAACAACTCTGTTATAAGGGCTGCTTTCCTTGGGGATAAACACCTCTCAGCCATCACTTACTGAGGTTTGGTGTGTTTCTACTTTTTGCAGTGTGAAAAAAAAAGCAAACCACACTTGTTTCCTTAAAAAAATAGCAAAGAGATTTGGCTGCAAAGAATTGACTCCATAAAAAAAATGGAGTTGAAAAATCCCAGATCAGCATTTCCTTTATGAATTGCTACTATTCTGTAGTGGTAGATGTTCTGCTTTGCTTGAACATTAAGTGGCCTCTGTAGTGGAGAGAGAGAGAAAAAAACACTAAGAAGTGAACTTGGAGGGGCAGATATTTATTTGAGCTGAGTGTTAAAGGGGAAGATGTTCATAGAGCACAGCAGTGAAGATCAGCTGTATGAAACAAATGGACCAAAAAACCCATAAAGAAACATATTCCTCCCTCGTTCACTTAGCTTCTATCCTAAAGATAGTGAAAATCTTGCTAATTAGTTCTTCGAGACTGATTAAGGATTTGAAAAGTGTTGAGAAAATTAAATCTGGAAGAAACATATGATGTTTAAAAGGGAGTTCATAATATGAGTTGTTTGCTCATGACCATGGCAAAATGGGAAGACCCTATTATAATAAGGAGAAATAAAAATTCAGGATAGATTAGCTTTTAGAGTCATCTTGCTCAGCCACAAGGAAGTGGCTGCCTATGCAGACTGGCCATTTCCATGATTTGTTGAAATATTTGAATGCAAGATGGGTCTTGCTTGTTGAAATAAGAGAGTTAGAAAACTGAGGTATACTGAGCTGAGGGAGAAAGGTACCTGAGGTCCTCCCCCAAGTCTGGCTGCTTTGATTTTCTTGATAAAGAAAGCAATATCATGGTCAGCTGGAAATAAGACCAGCTTTCCTAGGCATAAATCCTATTAAGAAATCAGTGTTTGGTGAACCTTCAGTACTAATGAATTAATTGAAGCAATAACTAAGTTATAAACCTTTTAGCAAGCAGTGAACAAGCTTCAGATCCTTGATTGTGTTTATGCCTTCCTAGTGACAGGTTGAACAGAAACATGTTTTTCCACTGGTGCACACATTTTAGTCCTTGATGGGCCAGTGCTGACCCATACTGACAGTACTGGTAGTAGAGGTCGGGTCTAAAGCAAAGGGATTAGGCTGGGAATTCTGGCAAACCCAGGTGGATGGAGTAGCAACCTGCTTGTATCTGTCATGTATGGTACAATTTAGAATAGCTGTGCTATGCTTTCCATGAACTGGCAGGCAGCTTAAGGCTGATGAATTGTTAAGGGGAAGGACAGGACTGACTCCCACTGAGGATGGGCATGGACACAATGCAGGTTCTGTGGATGAGAAATACTTCACTAATGTTTTGCAATTTTTGTCTTGCTGCAAAAGAGTGGCTAACAGGGAACTAGCGGATGTAGTGGATATTCAATGAGTCCTTAACAAACATGAGTACTTCATAAAAAGTAGCTTTTGACTGACTGCCATGATCAAAATCATAGAGTCATAGAACTGCAGAATGTTAAGGGGTTGGAATGGACCTTATAGATTATCTAGTCCCAACCCCCTTTGCCATGGGCAGGGGCCCCTCCCACTAGACCAGGATGCTCAAGGCTTCATCCAGCCTGGCCTTGAACACTGCCAGGGTTCAGGTATCCACTGCCTCCCTAGAGAGCCTCTTCCAGTGTCTCACCACCCTCACAGTAAAAAAACCTTTCCTGATATCTAATCTAAATTTCCCCTCTTTGAGTTTGAACCCATTACCCCTTGTCCTATCACTGCAGTTCCTAACAAAGAGTCCCTCTCCAGCTTCCCTGCAGGCCCCTTCAGATACTGGAAGGTTGCTATAAGGTCTCCATGCAACCTTCTCTTCTCCAGGCAGAATGGCCCCAACTTCCTCAGCCTGTCTTCGTGGGGGATATGCTCCAATCCTCTTATTAAATTTGTGGGCCTCCTCTGGACTTGCTCTAATAGTTCTATGCTCTTCTTACGTTGAGGGCACCAGAACTGCACACAGTATTCCAGGTGGGATTTCATGAGAGCAGAATAGAAGGGGAGAATCATCTCCTTCAGCCTGCTGGCCACACTCCTTTTGATGCAGCCCAGGGTTTGATTGGCTTTCTGCACACACTGCCAGCTCATGTTGAGTTTCTCATCCACCATCACTCCCAAGTCTTTCTCCTCAGGGATTCTTTGATATAAAATCCTTTTGATATAAAAGAATCCTTTGATATAGTGAAAGGCAAGGAGATTGAATGGTAAGTTTTCAATAAAGATGAGGGGAGAACCACAATGGATGTAGGGCAGATGATCCTCTCTTGTGCATGAAGAGACTGCATAGCAGCAATCAAATGTGAGGTGATTATTCCTTGTTACCTCGTACAGTGGAGATGAGATTATGAACTGGGCAATAACTGAAATGGAGAGCCAACTGCCAATAAAAGCCCAGCACTGCAATTCTCCTGCTTTAGTGGGGTTCCCCATGCCTAATATACCTGTTCAGCTGCTGTCTGTGATACTGGGGAAGCTGCAGCACTGGATTTAGAGTGCCCACATTGCCAGCCCTGTTGCAAGGAAGTGGGAGATAAGGACTGATTGAGTGGAGAAGGATCCTGTGAATCCCTTTGACCATCTGTACATGATTATAGTGTGGCAAAAGAAGATACCTGAGGAGAAGGCAGATTGCAGAGATTACATATAGGTTGTGAATATTAAATCCAGAGAAAGATGATAATGTTTCTAGGGAAAATTAATGACATGAGATGATGGCCCATGACCATGACATGGGAAATTCCTTACAGCTAAATAGAAGGCAGTGGAAGTTGAAAGGAGCTCTTCACACTGTTCACACTGTCATTGGGTTTTGAATTAGCTGTAACTACTCAAGGCAAATCTTGGATGTCAGAAACAGATTAGCAGATATTGTGGAAGGCTCCTGCTTTGCAATTTCTGTATACCTGTGTAAGGGAGAGGAGGCAGAGGAACCATGCAGAACAAAAATATATAGGAGACATGTATTTACAGGCTGAGTTTTGCCTGGGCTGGGCTGTTGGCTCTGAGGTGAGCATTCTCATGCCATAGTCCTACATGAATTTGAGATTCCAAACATATCTGCACATGTAAGGAGTAGTCTAAACAATAAATAAATAAATATATATTTTAATTAATGCATGCATTTCTGAGCATCTATGTAATTGCTTAATCTTAACTTTGTAAAATGCTAAGTAATGATTATGTATATAATATTTGTATTTTAAAGAATGCATAGAGCATGCAGTGTGCTGTAGGTCTTACTGAATCTACGCTTTGGACTGAATCAGCATCTTCAGCTATCCACTTACAAAGGCATCAGTGGCAATAAGTGGGGAAATATTAGTCTGGAATAGGAATATAGGAAATCCATCTTTCTACTGTGATATGTACAAAGATTAAGAAATGATGTACTTGTTTAATGTGAAACACAGTTCTTAAGAAAATGATACGTACAGTTTGACATCAAGAAATAATTCTAAGAAAAAAGCATCTAGCTGTCAATCTAAAATAGCTTTAAATTATTTTAATTGTCTTTGCCTTTATTTATTTTAAAATACTTCTTGCAGAAATGTCACTATCCACAATCTGTCTAGAATCTGGTTGTATTCAGATGTATTTTGTATTATTTCTTTTCTTTACAGTGGTCAACCTATTCCCAGAATAGAGTACACAGCTGAAGAAGTTAAAACGTGGGGGGTGGTCTTTAGGGAACTCAGTAAACTCTATCCAACTCATGCTTGTCATGAATATCTAAAAAACTTTCCTCTGCTGACCAAGTACTGTGGATACAGAGAGGATAATGTGCCTCAGTTGGAAGATGTTTCTGTTTTTCTTAAAGGTAAGATTCATATTTGGTTTATCAATAGACGTGGTTTCATGAAAACACTCTTTTTTGTTAGTATGCTCTGCTCTCTCAGGGCACAGGATGTGATTTCTGATAACCACAGTGGGCATCCCCCAAGTATCCAGGCAGGTAAAAGAGGAAGTCAAATGCCAAGATAACTGAATTTAAAGAGGAAAGCAGGTTTGGCACATTGTTGTATAGCCTGATGAATATGAGGCTTTCCTGAGTACTCAACACCTCATGAAGGTAGTAATTATATTTGTAGGTTGAAAAAAATATATGGTACCTCATACGTGATCTGGTACTTCTCTTTCATTTTATTTTTTAAAAGATTAGTATATGACATATTTAAGTGTGAAAATAGTCTTAATTTTCCTTTGTAATGTAAATGTGTCCTATATGGAAGATGTGGCAGACAAGAACCTGTTGCTTTTAGCTCTAGAGGAAAAGCCACCAAAGAGTTAATCTGAGGTTTTAATTTCTCCACAAGAGTTTCTTCAGCCACATGTACTTGTTCCTTAATCCTCTTGCTCAGGAACTAAAGTATTATAAAGGTGTATGTTTGAAAAAAAAAAATATATGTGCCATTAAGAGAATAATTAGCAAAGCATTTTGTCCCAGATATAGATGGATAATCTTTAGCTAAAAGAAATAGAAAATTTGTTATGACAGACTTTCGGCAGTCGGTGCTTCATCCATAACTATTGTTTGTGAATGTCTGCCTTCACTAATAGCTGACTCATCATTCTTTGAATTGGGTTGTGCCCTTCTGGATCTCTAAGGAATGATCCTAAATTGTACAGGTTCTTTCTCCCTAGCTAGAAATTCAAAGTCTCACACTTCTTCCAGAAATATGTTTTCAGGCTACATACAGCAAAAGTAGTATCTATTGAAGAAAAGCTTGAATCATTCTCCTGTAAAAACCTTGAAAGAGCAAGGAATGAATTTTTGAGAGAAACGTGCTTTTTTAACTGAGTCTGAAATTGTTCCAATCTGACAAAGGAACACTTCCTTAAATATTTAAATGAGGACCTCAGCTGTAAAAATTAGTATTTTATTGTCACAGTCTTTTATCTATAGAAATAAGGACAGATTTATTTTAATCCTATCCTGTTCTGTTAGGTTTGAATATATTCTACAGAAGTCATCTTCTGATGTGGAAACTTCTCTCCCATTTGGTACCAGACACAAAAATTTTAAAAACATCATTTATGGTACCTTTGCACTTTTTCTAGGCAAAGGTATTCAAACCCACTTTGAAATACCTCAAGCAGTTTTTATGAAACATATGCTAGCAATGCAAAATACTGCTTGTACATAACAGGTGAAAGTGATGTATGGTGATATTTAGTCAAGATTCTTTGTGCCATGCTTGATATAGTGATATATATATATATATAATGTAGTCTTTTATTATCTCCTTCACTTCAGAAAGGTCTGGCTTCACAGTGAGACCAGTTGCTGGATACCTGTCTCCCAGAGATTTTTTAGCTGGCTTAGCATATAGAGTTTTTCACTGCACCCAGTACATACGACATGGCTCAGATCCTCTCTACACACCAGAACCGTAAGTTGCTCAATATGCTTTAGTGCTGAAAAAAATATGCTCACTAGATTCTTAAAAGATCCAACTGAATTGGCCAAAATTGAAAAGAGGAACCTTCCTATAAATGTAAAAAACTGCTTACATTGTTGATGACAAAATCCTTCACAATGGCGAGCCAGAATTTAATTCAAAGACTTTTTTTGTGGCTTTTTGTAAGAGTCTTAAATAACTGGTTTATTTATACAGTGGGTCAAGAAATACTATTTGGATTATATTTCATTGGAAGATGGAGTTTTCAACTAAAATTTTTGAAAAAATGGCTAAATTTTATTTTCTGTTGGACAACTAAGGAAAGAAGATTTTGAGAAAAAAAAAGCCCTGAATCTCCTTCCCAAAAAGTGGCTTTTAGAATTATAATTTGGTCTTCTGTGTGCCAATTTTTCTTTTTCTGGGCCAGGCTCCACAGCTGTACTTCATTTCTCTCCTGTAACACAATGCAAGCAAGGCATGAGGCACTATTCTCTCACCCAGAGAGAATATTAGATATGATGCCTGTTACAGGGAACAGGATAGCAATAGCAAACACTTTAATTATGACTTTCATGGGACACCATTGCAGCTTTTCCAAAACAGAATATTGCGAGTTTGGATGAAATATTTTGGCATATGGTCTTTTGATGAAAAGTGGAGAAAAAGAAGATCGAAGCGATTGTAGCTCTTGTCTTGTGTCAGTTAGATAATATGGAGGCAGTTTTACCAAAGGCATCTGCTGATCTTGTAACCACTGGAATGATATTTTTGCAGTGAATCAGACATTAGGCAGTTAGCATGAAATTGTAGCTGTGGTTTAGTCAGATTGGACTAGTGAGTGTATTTGAATTTTGCCCAAATTTACACAAAGGATTCATACATATATATTCAGCTCCAGTCCTGTAAACATTTTGGAGCCAAGTCTAACTTTGATTTAATGAATAGACTGCCCAAACCGTGGAGTAATATTTTCAGGTATAAAAGGTATAATGGAACCCCATAGTAAGACGCAATGCTGCTAAAAATGATCTGGCATTATTCTGGCAGGAGTCACCAGGTGGTGCTGTTAGACACTCATCTACCCTTTTCCTCGGCGTCTGAATTGAGTAAAGCATTCGCCGAAATGCCATTAGGCTAGTTTTGTGTGCGTGTTTCTTTTGGGAAGGAGGTGGTGATCCCTGAAGGAATTAATGCACTTTTATAACCTCCATAATTAGAACTTTAATCTCTTAAATTTGTAGGCAAATTGCTACAATGTAAAATCCTGAAAGAAGGGCCTGGGTATGTGATGCTGAACCTTTTCTGGTCTGTCTAAAAATATCTGTAGATAATAAATAAATAAAAGAAAAGATACTTGGGAAGTGCCAGGGTTTGCACCAATGATTTCCTCTCCTGTGGGCAGCCAATGTTTCGGATTGCAGCATGTACCAATGTTCAGCAAAAGAATTATGACACTTATTAACGTTGTACAAACTAGAAGAACATTTTCTTCTACTGGTAGATTTAGGTATATAAACTCCAACACGATCAAAGGAATGAACATCTTCCAAGAAGCAATTAAGTGTGTCTGTGCTTTTACTGATATTCTCTGGTTCATTGATTTGTGCATTTGAGAGCCCTGTAGTTTTCAGGATGCTGCTTACATTTAGAATTATGCAGTGTGTCATAGCTGATCCTTAGGAGTAATGTCAACTGCTTTTTTTGTAGCCTTTCTGGTCATGGTATCTGTAAAGTCACTGTGTAATAATAATAGTTCAGTTAGAATGAAGATTTTTATTCCTTATTTGGGCAGAACTTAAAAATTCTGGTTAAGGTCTTAACTCCTCTAAATATGACTAACAGAGGAATTAAGTTGTCATTTTCTAAAGATGTTATGCTTTTTTTGCAGATCTGCTTGTTCACCTTATTTAACTAAATTGTACTGACTTTGAGGAACTCCATAGGAATATTTTGAAAATCCCTTTTAAATGTTTCTAAATTTTTTTTTATAGCATAGAGCATCTAGTGAGTGTTACCAGATATGCAGAGTGAAATCCTGGCTTTTTTTTTTAAACTCAGTCGCAAAGCTAAATTGACTTGAGTGGGGACAGCTCTTCATCTTCTGCAGTAGCTGCAATGCCCTGAGATCTGCTGGTTGATATATATGACCATAATGAGGTTTGCTGCAGGTCCCTGGCTGGTGAATGTTGCATTTCAATGATATAAACCTGGAAAAAAAGGCTCCCTTTGACTTCAGTGGGCTTTCCATCAGATTTAACACCCAAGCTATAGAGCTTGATACAAATTAGAGAGTTCATTTGGTTTGATCTGTATCACTACTACATGCATTTAAAAACATTTCTTCCTGAGTTTCATTATGTTTCTACTACATTCAAGAGCTGTGTAGATCTCCTCTGTTTTGCTAACTAATTTATTCCAAGAAAAATCTTTTGCGGTAGAAAGTACATTACAAAAATCTTATTTTCTCTGAGCAATGTGTGTGAATACATTAAAGGAACTTAATTATTTTCTGAATAAAACAAAACAAAAGAATCAATCCTTGGTAGTTAAGCAAAGAATTATATTGTTTAGACTATCTATAAAGGGCCAGACTGGCAGGGAAGTCTAAGAGACTCCAGTGACAATCCCAAATGCCGATACATGTTTCTGCTGAAAGATTTTGTGGGTTTGGTTTCTTTGGTTTTGTTTTGTTCATATGTTTTTGCTCTTTGTAACTGCACATTCAAAATACTACTTTGCATAGTTTTAATGGAAGAATCTACAAGCTAAAGACATGAAAGACGTATCTTCTTCCTCCTCATTCTCTTCCCCTTGCCGAGAGTGTGTTGTGGTTTAACCCCAGCCAGCAGCCAAGCCCCACGCAGATGCTCACACACTCCCTCACCAACGGGATGAGGGAGAGAATCCAAAGGGTAAAAGCTAGTAAAGCCCATGGGATGAGATAAAGACAGTTTAATAGAGAAAACAAAAGCTGCACACACAAGCAAAGTAAAACAAGAAATTAATTCACTGCTTCCCACAGACAGGAGATGTTCAGCCATCTCCAGGAGAGCAGGGCACATCACACACAACAGTTCCTTGGGAAGACAAACACCATCACGTCCCCCCTTCCTCCTTCTTCCTCCCACCTTATATACTGAGCATGATGTCATATGGTCTGGAATATCCTTTTGGTCAGTTTGGGTCACCTGTCCCAGCTGTGTCTCCTCCCAATCTCCCATGTATCCCCAACTTCCTTGCCAGCGTGGCAGTATGGAATACAGTAAAGACCTTGGCTCTGTGTAAACTCTGCTCAGCAATAGCAAAAACATCTCTGCATTATCAACCCTGTGTTCAGCACAAATCCCAAACATAGCCCCTTACTAGCCACTGTGAAGTTGACTCTACTTCAGCCTGAACTAGCACAGAGTGACAAGTTAATGGGGTTAGGCCTTGTCTGCTCTCATTTTGTCTGCAAGGGTGGAAGTAACAAAGACCCTGTGTCCCTGTGCAGAACTAAGATTAACACATCTTGTTTTTTTTGCTTCTGGGAGTTGTGGCTTCAGCACAGGAAAATAGGGATGTTAGACCCTTGCTTGGGTATCAATAGCAGCGATGCTGCTGTAGAAGCTTGCCTGCAGACAAGTGTGCTTACCTGAAGCCAGGAACTTGGAGCCAGTTCCACTGTATCTTCTTTGGCTGTTTGAAGTACTAATATGAAGCTAAAGATATCTGAACTGATGCAGTGCAGCATAGGTGGACAGCACTTGGTGTTGATTTCTCCAGTGAAGGTAAGAATTGGAGTTAGAGTGCTGGACTTGCAGAGAATGGGCTTTGTGGCCCATTTTTGTGTTGGAAGGTGATAGTTGGAGGAGTCACATTCTTCCAGTGAGTTGCTTGGTACTGGGAATTTTCAGTGTGTATCTGTCAGACTGCAAACTCCATTTCCCAGCTGCTCTTTGTATTCTTAGTGAGTTAAGTCTTGCAGGAGATGTCTGGAAAAATTGTGTCTGGAACTGAATTAAAGAAGGGTCATTAGCCTTTGATGGTTATCCACTCAAGGGTTATCCACTCCTGAACAAAGAGATGGACACTATGCAGAGCTAACCAGTTTTTCAAGTCTGAGCTCCAATGAGAATGGAACTATCTAAGCTATGGGTCTTGTTGAACAAATTACTCATATATGAAATTGGCTCAAACTTGTAACACACAACTTCAGAGCAGTGTCTGTCTCACCAAGAAGTGTGACTATAACACGAGCAAATGTTGCTACTCCTTTTTCAGCAAGGCCACTTGAACTGAGAAGGGAGACTTGTATGTGACCATCCAGTACTGGAACTATATTTGATAAGCTTTTGATGAGGCAAACTAGGACTACCAAAGCTGTTAATCTTCATTTGCATGCATTCAGAAACTACTGCCTACTGCTATCTACCTAGACATAGTTGATGCAAACTTCTTGGTGAAGATACTGAGTAAGAAGACTTTTAAATTATATAGAGGTTGTTTTTCTGTTGAAGATTTATCTGACATGTCAGGTTTGTGTCTTTTCAAACAAAAATAGTTTCTAAAGACAAATTGGATGATTTTGGGTAGAAGGCAGAAAACTTGATGTTTTCTCCCTGCCTTTAAAACATTTGTTTACAGTTTAGGATTAAAAAAAAAAAGAAATGTCTTTGAAGAGACAGAAGCAAAGGAAATGTCAGATCGGATTTTTAAAGTGAACTTTACTACCAAGTCCATTATTTTCTGTGAACAAATGCACCAAAACTTTCAGAATTGTTTGAGAGCTTTTGTAGATGATGCATGTGCACTTTTGTTATCAGTTTTTTGTACACTTATGTCTGCACTTCGTCATGACTAATAATGCACTTACAGATGTGAACAGCTGTTCTTTCTGAAATGATTCAGGTTCTCTGCTTTTTCTGAAATCCTCTCAGTGAAGAGTGGACTGCATAACAAAAGTACCCAGTAATTGCAGTAGGATCTCAGGACTGAGAAATTAAGCACACAGAAACCTCTGTAAATATTGCCCCAAATTTCTAGGGGCAGGTGGCAAAATGGTGTGGAGCTGTACCCAGGTGCAGAAAGGGGAATGGAGAAGGGGAAAGATTAATGTGTTGGATTTTAAACTGGGTTCATGTGGAGAGAAATGCTGAAAACTGTACTTGTGAGACATCTGGCTTTCCTTTGGGCAGTTCAGTCTTCATGGCACTAAGCCTGGAAGACAGATCAGGCTCTCCCATTCAGTCTGAAAATTATGATGAAATCACAGAACAGGTGGTTAAATGACATATAACCTATTTAACATAAGCAAATGTGTGTATTTCTGCATACATGTAGAAAGCATACACATGATTATGTGTGTATGCAGAATTACTGCATTGTAAGTACTATGTTTCCTGATAAAAATTTTAAAGTAGGGGTCAGACCCATATAAAATGGTTTATGTAATATTAATTATGGAATTATTATGGTATTAATTTCTGTAATGACTCTCTTTCATTTCTATTCCCTTAGGGATACGTGCCATGAACTCTTGGGACATGTGCCTCTACTTGCTGATCCCAAGTTTGCACAGTTTTCCCAAGAGATAGGACTTGCTTCACTGGGAGCATCCGATGAAGATGTTCAGAAATTAGCCACTGTGAGTCAAAATCTTTTTGTGACATGTTCTCTCATCTGTCCTCCTCTTTGTTTGATGAAGTGATGTGCATTTTCTTATTCGAGCTGTATTTTCAGGTTCCAGATGACTATGATGTGACAATCACAGAGCTTTATGTATTTTTCCATTGTTTTTGATACGAGAAAAGCTGATCCACACTAGTCTTCAGGTAGCCAATTTTATTTTGTACATGCAATAACCACCAATTTTCAGGGCTAGCTGAATTGGCTTTTGTTTGCTTTAAGGTGCTGAAAACAAGTAAGCGAGGTAATCTTGGAAAAAAACCCCAATCGAAAACATTTTGGTGTGTGCTCTCCTCAGGTTAGCTCCTCCACAGGTGGCCACCTTGACTCTTAGGACTGGTATTTCTGACCTCACTGTTCTGTTTTGCAGCTATTAGTTGTATTGCAGTGTGTGATGGATTTTGAGATGACACTGCATCCTTGCTACTGCTCCTATTGGGGAATATGTAGTTACTAAGCCAAGGCTGTGCAGCAGTAGTTGTAGACCCGAGATCAAGTGCCTCAGGCAGCAGCTGGGAGATGGATTCTACATTGCATCAAATGAGGCACAAGCCAGTAGATAGTGTGAACTGAAAGATGTTGTGTGCTATAGCTGTTGAATGCTACTGCAAGTAGAGCCTTCTTGGCCCTTGTGTGAGGGATCCTGTCAAGTTGTCAGGACCCACTTCCTGACTGCATGTCAGCCCTGCTCTATTGCCATATTCCAGTAACTCATATGCAACCCTTTGTATCATGACACAGGTTAGTGACCCCTGGTCTATACCACTCTCTCTGATTGTGCTAACTTACTCTCTGCTTCCTTTTGTGGATCTTGGTAAAATTAATATTGCAAATAAATTCAAACAATCGCTTCAATCTTCTTTTCCTCCCTTTTCATCAAAAGACCATATGTCAAAATATTTCATCCAAAGTGGATTAAAAAAACACCCCATATTTATATATTTTATCTAGTGAAAAAAATCTGTGAGATCGAGCATAAGAATTGGTTCCTTTAGAACTTATCCATCATACTACTGCTTTTCTCCACAAGAAGTGCAGTGGTGATTGAAAGGGTTGAAAATAACAGTGCTGAAGGTGGAGTCAAACTAGGTTCAATTAAACTATAAAAATTTTGGTGCACTAGCTTTGCAGAGGCTTAGAGTCCTATCTGCCAAAAAAGGTGTTTGTACCGTTTATTTGATTTTAGTGCTGTAGCCTTCCAGAAGAGGCCACTAAATTCAGTTACTCAAACTGGCTTCACTCCTTAGTTAGACAGGGTCAATGTCTTGCTGTGCTGGTTTGAAAGCAAACCAGTGAGACTCCAAGTCAGAAATACAATTTAATAGGAAAAACAAAACAATAAATGCAACAGTACAAAAAGAAATCACTGACAGAGTCAGAAAGCAACCTGACACCCTTGGATACCTGATAACCTTGGATGACATGGGCCTATTGCAGAGGACAAAGTTGGTACTGACCTGTTTCGGGGAGAGATATTAATATAAAGTGACCTGTGAATATTATATAAATGCTTTACTCCTCCCCCTCACAGAAATTCCCAGTTTTGACTGACTGTGTCATTTGAACAAGGAGCTGCTCCTGAATCACAAAGCCAAAAATAAAAGAAGACAGCTGAATCGCTTTCCCTTATCATACTGAAAATTTGATATCTGAGTCAAAGTTGATTTCTCCTCCTATGCTGGAAATAGCTCTTTCAGGTGAAAGAAACATTTAGAGAGAGACTTAAAGTAACCCAGGTGGTGTTATTTTTTGTAGAAGCACAATGAGGGGCTGTCCCCTGGGGCAAATGCTTGACAAATACAGAGATGTTACTTGCCCTTAAATGTGCAATGTAAACAGCCAACTTGAGAGCAAGTAGAAAGAATATTTCTCAGTGGTGAGAGTAAGGAGGCTAAGAAATTCATTCAGATGGGCACCAAATGTCACCTGAGGTGCTATTAACTAACTTTTGCAACATTCAGTCCCATTTCCATCCTAGATAAAAACCAGAGACACAGTAAGCTGAGAAATGCCAGCCAAGACTCTTGACACAGAAAAAGCAGTTCAGGTTCCAAGAAGGCAACTTCAAAGTAAATAGAGAAACAAATGAATGGAGAGAGAGAATGCATATTAATGAGCTTGAATCAATATGCCCAAAGCTAGCTTGCCATTAGCATGACCTGTTTCAAAAGATAGTGACATTAACAGCTAAGCCATTATAGGGAGGACAATGGCTTTAGGAAGAGAAGAAAACACCTCTTAGGAGTTCAGACCAGAAAGGGAAGAATTATTACAGGTGATTTTGTAATCTTTTTCTCCATTCTGCTCTCAAAAAGATGCTGTGTATCAGCTTTGATAGATCTGCTCTTTGTGCCCCATCAGTCCTGAGCTGCAAAGGAAATGTCTGATGCTTTTGTCCCTGAAGGGCTTACAGTGGATGTAAAGCAAGCTGGAGCCTGGTGCCTGGGCAGACTAGAAGTGTTCGGTAAATTGCAATTAGTCACAGCTGTGCAGCCCTGCTGAAGGGCAGGGATTAAATGGGAGAGCATTGCAAGGGCTCTGGTGCTGGCCAGCTGGGGGGAGAAGGATGGCTGCAGGGGACAAGGGCTGAAAAGAAAGTATGTAAGTTCTCTTCATGGTTTCCTCTTGGAGCTTGCTAGTCAGATGGGGGACAGGAGAAAGGAATTGCTTCTGCTTCACCATGAGAGTGGAATATTGGACGAGCCAAAAGACTCTCTTTGTAGTGAGGTTTTTTTGAGAGTTTTTTATTTCCTTTACGATTTTTTAGGAAAGAAAGAGGAAATATGGAAAAAACGCAACTGAGAGATATGTTACTGAAACAGAGCAAAACACTTGTACAATCCACTCTTTTGCATGCAGTGTGGTATAATGTGGTTACTAGTTGAGGAAATACAATATTGGTCATGCATGTCTGGGTGCTAATTATTATCATCATGATCACCACTGATGTCTTGTGCTGTTCTGTGTGACTTTCTAAAACCACTCTTGACCTAATTTTTCAAGCATGTATGGTCTTTCTACTTTCACATAGTACAAAATAAAAAAGACTGTCTTTTCTGCTTACCTATCAAACCACAAGCTGTAGAGAGGACTTGACATGGGGTGTTTCAACTAATTTATATAATATATCATTTACAACATGTTTAACAGCACATAATGTAAGGTTTTCACAGGCAAATTGTACAAAAAATACATTTTGGTTTGCATTTCAGTGTTGCATTATAATTTGTGGACTTGGGAGCCAGAGAGCAGCTGGCTTTGTAAAGCTGCAAGTTGATAAGCAGGAACCTGCCTCTCTTGCTAATGGCAGGATTGACTCCTGACTCCTGCTAAGTTGTTTCAGCACAGCTCAGGTTGCCCTTTTGAGATGCAGTGTGTATAGGATGTGTTTGTGTAGCTGAAATCCAGAAGGGCACCTTAACTGGTGATGATTCAGAAAAGAGGCTAGCAGAGTGTTTTTGTATGGAGTTTATCACTAAATCTTTCCACCCAAGAATTTGGTCATTAGGGCCTAATTAGTTTGGTCATTAGGACCTAATTTTTTCCCCAATCATTTCTCACTGGAAGTTACATTTAAACTTTCAGTCCTCTAGAACTGTAAAACTGTCACCTTTTCATCTTTCTTGATTATATTTGTTCTGGTATTTTAACAGCATGGAACAGTAGAAGTCAAGACCTTTCTCTTGTTCTTGCTATCTATTATGCTTAAAACCACAATAATTGCTTCTGAATTTGAATGAATTATGTTTGAGGAGGTAACGAAAATGGAAGAAATGCAAGTGTTGCAGATAAAGAGTAGCATTTGGTAACTTAATGGTAGATACAGCATTCATGGTCTCACTAGACAGAGCAGGCTGTTGCAGTCTCTCATCTTCACAAATGGCAGATTAGATTTCCCAGAAGGGCTATTTAGTAGTGCTAGGCCATAAGTACAGCTTGTGGACTGGATTACTGTCTTCCTTCATGGATGAGAAAATGGAGCTGAGAAGAAAACTGAAAATAATTGAGATTTTGAACATTCCCACTGTAAATCTGAAAAATCAACTCTGCTTGTGTGTTTCTCATTTATAGCTGCAGAATGATAGACAGGGAACACTATTGAAAGTCTGTGATCAACTGCCCTGCTGAAGCTATTCTGCCATATAAAAATAATTATGTATTGGCCAACTGAAACATGGTATTACAGCCAAGACCTGTGGCAGTCACTGAGCATATTGAAGTTGCACATTGAAATCTCTGCATGGTCTTTTTTCTGAATCTCAATTTCATGCCATGTATGTGTGACTGATGCCAGGTGTACAGCTGCACATGCAGTGAGTACCTTAAGTCCAGTGGTGACACAATGGAGTGTCTTGCAAAGGAGTTGTGTCCAGCTACACCTGTAGTTAATGAATAAAGGAGCTGCAGCATGAAGATCTGGGAGTGAATATGATTTTAAAACTACTTGAGTAAATTTTGATGGACTTACAAGAGACATCTGATATTACTCTGATTTGGAATGTGTGTCAGGGAAGATCAATCAATTCCCAGGGTAAAAGCTAGGACTATAAAGCTGAAATCAGGTACAATGGATGACTACAGCCAGACTTTCTCCTGTTACACAGCATGAGACTCAAAATACTATGATCCATATTGTTCATTAGTAGATGGCCTGGGCTGTGTTTCTGTTCCTGACTTTGACCAGGCAAAACCACTCATATGCAGATGTATTTGGAAATTGCCCAAGCACAGAACCTGAAACTTATAAAAGAAGCAGAAGAGAAAGCTGATGAAATCCGTGGCTTTCTTAACTGTTACAAAGTCACACAGGTGTTTGAATAAGGAGAGAAGGATAACTTACTGATGGATTACTTTCCTTTGATTCAAAGGAAATCAGGTGTTGCTGAGCACACTGGCTACTGTACAAAAAGCGTTCCATAATTGTGGTTTTGCTCTTGCAAAACATTCTAGAGGAATTAA